AATGACACCTTTATTTTTTAATGCCCGATTTTGCAATTTTTGCCATTTAATGCCTAGTGGAGATCCAACTTAAACTTAGATGATTTTTCAAACAAAAAATTAATTTTTCCATGATACAACTAACTTTTAAATTTCATCCACCGTTGAACAAAACAAATTACTCTGCGATAGTGCGATCGAATGCAGCATGCTGCGATCAATCGATCAAAAACTCTGTTTCTTTTGATTTCCTTCGCTATCGCTATTGCTGTCGCGTTGGTGTGCACAAGGCTTTAAATGATATTGAGTATATTCCTGTGATTCGGTCGAAAGGTGTCAGTGTGTGAGAGCAGATAAAAGCGAATTTCAGCTGCAAAGCGTACGAAGTGCGATGATTTGTAGCATATTCTCGCTTTGAAATTATATTTTTTTTTTCATGAAGAATTCTCAAAATAAAAGCTCTTTCTGCTGAGCAATCAAGCTTTCCGATTAGGACGAAAAAGCGATTACTGAATCCGAATTTTTACTGATGTGCATATGTATTATGTATTTAAAGTGCATATACAATACTGGCAGAAGTAATAGAAACACCTTATTTCGACCAATTTTTATATTTCTTTTGTTTATAGGATAATTTGAGCTTAATATATAAAAATTAGCACTATTTTAATAAAAGTCTAGCTCATTAAAAAGTTTCAAGCTTTATACAAATATTATAAAAATTAAACACTACTTCAAACTTTGTATTATTGTATTTTAGGATTTGAGGTATGCAGTTATATCGTTGATTTTTCGGCATTTTTCTGTCCTCCTTCCATATATTAAGTGGTGTATGTTTTATCATGAAAGCGACTGCGACGAGAAAAATAAATTAGAAAGCAACGGTAATTTTAGGTCACATGAAACTTGCACTTCATCCTTAAATTTTTCTAAAAATTTTGAAAAAAAAAAGTTCAAAGCTTTGGCGAAAATTTGTTGGATTATAATTTTTGTACAAAGTTAGAGATGTGCATTTATATGCAGTTTATTCAATGAGCTAAACTTACAAAAGCATCTTAAACATTAAATAAACAAAAGGCAGAAATGATCAAAAAATGCGTTTCTATTATATCTGCCACTAGTGTATCTAGTATGGTACGTTCGAAACCATTTGATAGCAGTGATAGCATTTTCGTAAATTCCAGAAAAAAAAACGGACTTTCCATCTTTCGTCAACAACTTTTTTACATTTGTATTTAGTGTTTTTCAAAATTTTCCTACAAAATATACATACATCCTCGCCTACATACATATGTGTGTCGAGAGATTCTGTTACATACATTGCTATATATTGAAGACAAAAAACATAGATCCATTAATCCACTTATGAATTCAAATCCTCACATCTTAAAAATCAACATGTGCATTCGGTTTCCGTTTCGTTCATTAAAACTTTACGTTTCGCCTTCCGCATCGGTTGACGACGTCTTCGCGCACCAACACGATGCCCCAAATTGAGTAGGTCTTCTTGCGGTACATAAGGCAGATCGTGCACATCGAAATCATGTGGTTCCAAATCGGCAAAGCTGTTCGGTAAATTACTTATGATATTTGGCAAGGGCTCAGTGTTATCGTCGTCCATCATGGGTTCTTCAAAATTATATGCAGTCATGCGATCCGGTGTAATCTCTCGCCTCCTGTAATGTGGTCCACCAGTAGTATTTTCAGTTGGCCGCACGACATTCAATACAAACTCCAATATGCCGGTTACATCGATCATAAAGATGAAAGCAATTACGGCGAGCATAAAACGCGCCATATAAAAGGCATCGTTACGTATCCACGACGATAAAGTGGGCGCATTATTGGCCAGAAAGGCCTCATTAGCTACGATCACATATTGGGCGAGAAAGCGACAAATAAAATTTAACAGCTTCAAGCTAGGCAGCCATACTTGACGCAGGAGGAAGTCGGTGGCATATAATATCAGCGACAATTCAACGAAGAAAATTAAGGCGCGTTGTGGTTTACGTAAAGCACTCGGCCACAATGGACGCAATTTCGACAGAATACAAAGCACAGAAAATACAAATAAGCTGGATGCAACGTTTGGCGTCAGCAGTGGCATGCGCGAATACTTCAATTCAATGATACTAATGCGATTCAAATGCATAAATACTCCAATTAACACTATGATGCAGGATTCAATATATTTCTGTTGGCCCTGCAACTTTTCAAAAGCGATCAACATGGTTGCGGCTGTGGTTGCGTTTGCTCGGACTGAATGCACACGCTTTGTGACACACTGCACTTGAATGAACTTAGCAAGTGATCGTGAACAAAGAGTGGCAAGTTTCAAGAATTTCTTGATTGATTTGTTTGTTGATTGGTTGCTTGATTTAAGGTTTGAACTAACTCGTTACTGACTGTAATGGCGACGTCGTGTATTGGAATTGGTTTGGAATTTTACGTTAGAACCGAAATTTGCAAATGCAATGGAAAATTTTTTGTAACAATTCAATTTTGATGAACTATGTGTTTGCTATTTTTGGAACAATTTTTTGAGAAGAAAATCACAAAAAATTATTTTTACAAATTTCAAAATTGTGTCATATCAAGCAAGTGTGTTGCGATCAGCCTACGAGAAGGTAGCAAAGTAGCTTGCAGCGGAAGTGTTAAAGTTAGAATGTAATTTAACCTGCAAGTGGTGGTGAGAAAGGGAAGCTCGAATTAAGGTATAGAAAAATTTGGAGTTATACAGGGATTAAAACAAATTTATTGTGACTTGAATATATAACGTTAACGTTAATATAGATGTACATATATCAACATGCTAGACGAAATAATTGTATTATATTTTCATTTCAAAATTAATAGCATACTTTCACTAAGAGCTTAACTGCAGTTAAGAGCTCAGGTAAATTTAAGGAACGTTAACATGGGGTGATCAGCACAGTTTTGTCTCTTACTTTTTGCTTTCTTGTTTTCGATTGTTTGTACTTAATGTGAGCAGTTACCTCCTTCGAGTTGTAATCTAATTTTTCAATAAGCATTAACTGCAGTTAAGGCTTGGTGGAAATGAACTCTAAAATACATTCCCTCATTTCACAGTTCAAGCGATGAGTTTGGTACAATGGTTTATCTTATGTATGAAATCTTCTTAAAATAGAGGATGCAGCATTTGAAAATCTCGTATTTAGTTCCAAAGCTACTTCACTGGGGTTTTAGAAAAGGCTTTTGAAAAAGTTCAGAAAATGCATCTCCGTGATTTTTTTTTCTTTTTTCTAAAATCTCACGAAGCCTTAGAATTATTAAATAATCATTTAAGGTAACGCAGCAACAATTGTTAAGTATAAAAATGTGAAATCAATATTATCAATCCCTAAATACCAGACATTTTTCCATCCAATTTGCTCAAAACTGGAGAAAGAGGTATTTGACTTTGCCGTGTAAACACTTAAAAAATTTGACATTATACCGAATTTCTGGTATTGCTACGTGTGAGAGAACTTTTACTTCTTCACGTGGAAACGACAAGAAGGATTCAGAAAAAAAATTTTACAAGAAGAAAATGTTTAGTTTGCATTAGCATGCAGAACATTTTTAAATGGGGCGTCCATTAGCGTTTAAAATTAAATAAGCTGTTAAAGATTATTACAACCTATCAGAAAGTCAAATTCAATTTAATTAATACATTAAATGAATTATACAATCGTTTACATAGTAAATATTAAATGCCTGCACACTGGATTGCTCAGTCGNGGGTATTTGACTTTGCCGTGTAAACACTTAAAAAATTTTACATTAGACCGAATTTCTGGTATTGCTATGTGTGAGAGAACTTTAACTTCTTCACGTGGAAACGACAGGAAGGATTCAGAAAAAAATTTTACAAAAAGAAAATGTTTAGTTTGCATTAGCATGCGGGACATTTTTAAATGGGGCGTCCATTAGCGTTTAAAATGAAATAAGCTGTTAAAGATTATTACAACCTATCAGAAAGTCAAATTCAATTTAATTAATACATTAAATGAATTATACAATCGTTTACATAGTAAATATTAAATGCCTGCACACTGGATTGCTCAGTCGGCCTGAACAATCCACCATGCGAATGCACACTAGACTGAGCAGTCGGTCGGAAACAGGTTTCATTTGTATATACATTGAACATTGATGTATTTTGCGTTACCTATGTGTAAGATTTTCGCATACTGAGATGGACTAGGTAAACTTGGACCCTCTTACATCTCTTGCCAGTTTTCGGATGCCTGAGCAGGGTGCAGATTGCACTGCGAAAATAGAAAGCAGCAGAAGACGTAATTTCAGTCAAATATTACAAATGGCTAGCGAGAAATTGGCTTCATAGTCCTCTCAACTTTTTAAGATAATCAAACTGCCTCCACTTACCATTCGCTCGCTCAGATTTTCATAAATACATTCATATTGCATGAGACTATCAGCTAAAATTATTATTATTTTTTATTATTCATGTTATTACCGCTCACTTTTAGTCAAGGTTTAATATTACTTGCAGTTATTTCCGATTCTGTAACATTTGAAAGTATAACGGTAAAGCGGAAGTTCCGCTCACGAAATCTAATTTCCCATACAATATAAAAATGGGTAAGTTTTTAAAAGTATAGTAACAAATACATAAAAAAAAAATCCATAAAACTGGAGATTTCTGTATGTGACTTTTCTACACACATCCATCTCTTCACAGAAACATTTGAGAAAAGACAATTGAGTTGGAAAAAATACAGCGCGTATAGAGCAGCAGTGTTGCAAGTTAACTTATGAACAACTATTTAATATGCCTAAAGAAGCATATATGTAAGTATTTGCTTCTAAAAATCTACTCAGATATTTATCTTGTTAATATACATATTTATGTATGTATAACCTAAATGTTTTTGTTTTTGATTTTTCCTTCTCTGCACTACTATCCTATCTAAGCTACTATTTCAATATATTTATATGTATTACTTTACTTGGTTCTGGTCAATTTATTGTTTAGTACGAATAAGCATCCAACGTACCAGTTCGTTGCTGTGCAAAAGCATTACGTTGATTTGAGTTTGTGCCACCATTGCCTGCTGCAGTATTGCCATTGCCGCTACCATTAATGCTCGATGTGGATACCGTAGAATTTGCGGCATTGGCGGCAGAACTTTGTTTAATGGCAGGACGTCGTTTAGCTAGGGGCATATCATCATCGGAATCGCTGAGCGTTAAATCGACCTACATAAAATGATTTTAGAGGAAGCTAAATTAGTAATATGGATACATAAGTTGCCAAATATATATGTGGCAAAAAGGTGTCTCCAAAATGTGTTACTATAAAAAACCAAAACAGCCAAAGATTGCCTCTTCGCATTAAATTTGGCACGAGAAACATGAATAGGAAATCAACTTGAAATGCCTGTTGCATGGAGATGTGCATTAAACATTTCCGAATCCTTTTGCAAACTTTTCGAAACACCCAGTGCTCATTTATTGGTTGCCGCTTCTTCTTATTTAAAACCTACCGTTTCACTATTGGTTGTTGATGTTGGTTGGTCATTAGCTACGGCAGGTGGTGCTGCAGATTTAACCATTTTAACATCCTCAGTGGTAATGACTTCTGGAAGAAAAACAAATGGTTAATCAATGTGCACTAATTTTTCAAATATAATTTTCAACTTTCGTACCAATATCATCCGAAATGACTTCCACCTTTTCTACAGGCTTTGTTGGTGTATCAATTATTTGAGCCTCATTCCGCAAACTATGTGTGCTCCAAGAGCCGTCTTTATGCAATTGTATCTCAGTGTCATCGGGTTTGAGAAGTGAAGAGGCGAGAACCTCTTGAAAATAGCTGCAAATAGAAAATAATAATACAACAATCACAAAATAAGGCGCTTGTGCTAATAATGGCTGGACAAGTATGGCCGCGTACCCATCAATGACTAGGTTATCATAAATGGCTGCCTTGTCGCACACTGGGCAATTCCATGTTGGCTTGCGCTCATTCATCTGCAGGTAAAGACTAGCATCAAAACATTGTAAATGCGAACAAGTTGATGCACGACATGGTATGGACATTTTCATCTTGCCCAACGGGCAATTAAGTGATACTTTAAGCATTGTGGTTGCGATTTCACAATCTGCATCCTCAGTTAGTTTCTCTTTGACTGAAATTAATGAAAGATATTTGTAAATTGCAGTACTACTTAATTATAATTCATGCTTTTTCACGTACTTAAACCGCGTGTGTAGTCGGCTGGTTTGACGCCCTTGGTTTTCATGCGATGCAACAATTGCGCCGATGTCAACTTCTTTACTAAGTATACCGCAATACAGTAGCCACGCGTATAATCCGGACACCATTGTACAGTGATTGTATTGGTTACTGTAGGCGAAAGCTTTACGTTAGCTGTTACATTAACGGGGCGCGGTGGTCGTTTTGGTTCAACATTCGGTCTGTTTGTTGGAATGACATTCTGTGAAGAAATAAAGATTTTTTTATTGCTGTTGTTAGAAACTGTAGATTTATTTGACAACTGAAAAGAAGTTCATCTTCACCTAACATAGTTGTGGAAATTATTGTTAATAAAATATAATAAAATTTAGTGAGATGAAATGAAATGCTCATAATTTTCGCATTCTAAAATTTGGTTTTGATTACCAGGCATCATGGCTTCGGGCTCAACTTAAATATTTGGGAATTTGGATTATTCAGTGGTGGACAAATAAAAGGTACGCGATTTTTTTTCAAATTTTTGCTTTGTTTTTCTTTCGTTTATTTAATATTTATTATTTTTTTAATAAAATTACAGCTCATTATCTAACAAGAACCATATAAATTCATGTTTCAAACTTTGTGCAAAAATTATAAAAATTCTCCAAAATTGCATCTAAATTTTCAACTTTTATATCAGATTTTTTAGAATAGGTTTGAGTATGTAGTTTTATAGCAAATTAATAGAATGAAGTATAAGTTTTAAGTTGCTAAAAAATCTCGTTGATTTTTGGCAATTTTTTTAATACATTTTTCTTCCGTACAAAGTATGTTCAACAATTTTTTTGTATAGGAAAAAGTGTGTAATACATTCAGAATAAAACTTATTAAAAATCAAAGCGATTTTTCAGGAACTTCAAACTTGCACTTAAGTCTACTAAAACTTAATGGGCTAATGGGCTGCATACTCAAAAAGAATAGCAGAGAAATACTGAAAACTAAAAACGATTGCTAATCTTTGTCCAGTCACGGCAAAATTCCGAGACAATTTAAATACGATAAAAGGAGTAATCTATGCGCCTTGGCTAAACTTTGTAAATTAGGAAGAAATTATGCAGCAAATAAAAAAAAATAGCAGAAATAAAGAAAATAAAATAAAAAATGGCAGAAATTAGCAGAACTAAAAATACAAGGTGTAAGGAGTATATGGGGCGTTCCATACCAAAACGGACGGGGTTCACACTTCATGTGTTTGATTGGTTTCAAATTTTTTAGGGTTGATGCATAAACATAAATAATAAATAACTATTAAATTTGAGCTTGATTAATATATTTTTAAAAACTTTACACAAAAAAAAACAAGTCGATTTAATAGTTTTCCAAATATCTCGAGAACCGAGCGAGGAAAAAATCAAAAAAAAAATCACACATACACACATCAAAATTCCCTATGAAAAGTAATATTTAAAAATTTTTTTTTTTCTTAAAGAATTTTTAACATAAATTTTTTAATAAAAAAAATTAGTTTTTGAAAATATGCCATCTCAAAAAAATCACAATGGTAGCTATGAGTATTGCGCAATATTTAAGTGTATTATTATGGGGTGCACTCTACAATAATATGAGTTATGAATTTTTTTTACGCCGAAGTTGAGTAAAATAAGTACCTAACAAATTAAAAAATTATTGCAAAATTGCGTTGATTTTTAATATTTTTTATCCTAACGGCTTTTTGGACTTTATACTTATGGAAGAAAATGAGCAAACCCGTTTTCAAAGAAAATCAAAACTAACGACGGTTTTGCAATCGGATAAAACTTGCACTTTAGTATACTAAAATTTATTGAGCGACAAAACTGCATACTCAAAAAAATTCTAAAAAATTTAAAAAAGAGATTTTTTAGAATTGTTCGAGTGTGCCCATGCAATTCAAAGTGCAAGTTTGAAGTAGCTAGGACTTAACGTTGATTTTTGGCAAAGTAAGTTCCACCTAACCCTAACTTCAGGGGCGAAAATTTCGGGAAAACAAAAAAAAAACTGCACATACATATGTAAAAAACAAAATGTTATTCTCAAAACCACTCAATACAACTAAACCAAGTAACTATCGAAAACGTCGACGAACTCCGCATATTAGGCCTTATATTCACACAAAACTACTCTTGGAAGAAATAATAAATACATATAATAAATAACACACTTACCGGCAGTTGACACAGCTTATTGTTAACTTTTACACTAACACTGGGCGGGAAGCAATCCTCTTGTTCGCATGAAGTTTCTAATAGACAAAAACGTAGCTGAACCTGTATTGCATGCTCAATTTTATTACTGTTCCGTATGTCACGATTTGATGCAATTTCTGTGGCTTGCTGTGGTGTCAATGTAAAGTAGAAGGGCACCTCTTGTATACGCTGTGTATTGCGCGGCACAAGCGATGACGGCTTAATCAGCACACCCAGCACATCGTAAAAAGCAAGCTTCTTTAAACGTACATCGGGATGTATGGGTATATGAGTAGGAATGGGATTCATAAATGGTACCATATTATTTGCAACACCAGGCCCTGAGGGCGGTACTCCTGCAATGGGTTGTGCACCGACAGCGGTAGGCTGACCGGTATTTTGCAGACCAGCTGCAGGATTCGGTTGCACCGGCGGCATTTGCATGTGTGAATACATTCTTTTCGGATCTGTTGGCCCGTATTGTTGAGCCTGTTGTTCTGTTCTGTAAGTTATCATATAAAAAATAATTATATAAATTACGCAATGAAGGAAAATCTTTAAGTAAACTTACAGCGAATTTGTGTAAACTTCACGTATTTTATGTGATAATAAATCGTAGTTTGTATGAAGAAGATTTATGACACGTCGTTGCAAATCGCTTTTACGTCCAGCAAAGGAAATATTCAAAAAAGATAGTATCTGCTGAAGCTCTACTACCCGTAGCAAATTTACCATTTCCTCACATTCCTATAAGACAAGAGAAAATCAAAAATTTTGCATAAAATATATTGTAATCAACAGATATGTTTCATAAATATGTATGTATGCATGATACAAATGTAATATAATACCATAAATACATTAAATAGTAGATAAGTATAAAAAACGGAAAACGAACATAATTCAGTGGGGTATCAAACGCAGGCCTAGTTCCATTTCTATTTCTACTTTTACTTTGCACCGACGCTTTTGCGTTTCTCATGCCAGAATTTGGGTTTGCATGTGTTGCTAATCCGGGAAATTTTTTCTTATCTCCAGACATTTCAAAACACTTTATCTCGCACTTTTTTATTATACCGAAACGGAATCGGATATGTATTCACAAAACTCCACTTAATGAAAAAGTCAAACGTTCATCAATCACAATGTAGGTAACTTAACCTCACTCTTTAGGCTTGCTTCATAAAGCGGGATTTTAGGTTGCGGCACCGATACGTTGTCGCTTAACGCGGTATACTATACTATAGTTTTGCACGAAGTGGAGAACAAAGGGTGCGCATACAGCGGACCGCTACTTTGGTTTTGCCGATTTTGACAATTTTCAAGTAAAAGTAAAAAGCATGTAACAAAATTAACACAAAACTTCAATAGCACTGAAGTTCGCAATTTTCTTTTAAGTCCACTGTTTTTCTAACATTTTCTTTATTTATTCTTCCTAAAAATCATATATTTTTACAATTAAACAAAATTTAACGACGTTCGAAAAGTTAAATGTTAAAGACTTCACGGTATTGAGAACTCTTTTATTCTTCTTTGTTTTGATTTACTTAGCATACGCCATCGTCGCACAGTGTACGTGTTGGCAGTGTTGATGGACTAAATCGTAAATCTCTCGATAGAAATAAGGCAAAAATNCCTATTCTTCTTTGTTTTGATTTACTTAGCATACGCCATCGTCGCACAGTGTACGTGTTGGGAGTGTTGATGGACTAAATCGTAAATCTCTCGATAGAAATAAGGCAAAAATATGGAAACATATTTGGGGGATTCACAACGGTGTCGTAAGTGTCGTATTGTTGTATGTCGTAAACTTTAAAAGCTTAAATAAATGTTTAGAGACCTTAAAACCATAACCAACCATTTTTTAACACTGCGAAAATTCATATGACTTTGATAATACTTTGCGAACCCTGTTAATATATTTTTTAGGTGTTTAAAGTTAACGACATACAACAATACGACACTTACAACACCGAAAGCTGGCATAATCGCCTACAAGGGAAATGTATTGTCATTATAACTCATAAAAAGTTTCGTTGAAAAATTAATTTTCGAAAAAAATCAATACTTTGCTCTCTTGGTCTCTGCAAAAAATTTTGGTGTTTGGTTTTATGGACTTTTCTTGTAGATTTTCAACCGAGGAATACAAATTTGTTATCAAAAGTTGACTAACGGTTACTAAAAAAACCAAAATAATAGTTTCATTCATTTTATTGAAAAACTGAAGGGCAATTTCATAACTAAATGTAGGGCCAAAAGAGTTTTATTTACATAAACACTAAAAAATTTATTTACGTAAAATGTGTTTTTATGGAAATTACTGCGAGCAGCAAAATTGTATGCAGTCTTAAATTTGTATTAAATTGTTATGACATTAACAGTTTTTTAGTATGTGGTAGCATGACCGTTGTTTTTAATCACTGCTGCACAACTATTCCTCATAGTATACGAGGCGTTGACATATTTCCTGTGGTATTGGTTTTTTTTTTTTTTTTGGTTTTGCATCCCATAACCATAAGGCTTTCTTAAGGTCGGTCCAAATGATTTGCATAGGATTGAGGTCACGAGATTGAGCTGGCCCCACGAATTACCTCAATTCCGTTGTTCCGAAACCACAATTTTTCACACACCACACCATGACATGAGAAACATCCCCATGCGGTGAAGTTCAGGTGGCCATCGGGAAGGCGAAAGCCTCCAAATCCATGGGTCCCGACGGAACATGCATGCTGATGCTGAAAAATTTGGGTCCTGCGGTAGTAGCGTACCTAACGGAGGTCCTCAATTTGTCTATGGCCACTCTCATCATCCCAGACATCTGGAAGGTGGGGAGAGTGGTCCCACTGCTCAAACCGGGGAAACCTGTCCACAAAGGAGATTCGTATCAACCGATAACGCTCCTTTCCCCGGTAGCGAAGACACTTGAGGCCCTGCTGCTCCCGTATTTCACGAACCACCTGACCCCAGCGAAGCATCAGCATGGTTTCCTTAAAGTGCAACAACAGCACTTAACGCCATAAACACTCAGATAACTCGTGGCCTTAACTGTAAACGTCCCTATGAGAGAACGATTCTAGTAGCGTTGGACCTGTCAAAGGCTTTTGACACTGTCAGCCATTCCACGCTACTAGAAGACATAGAGGCTTCCTCTCTCCCACAGAGGCTCAAACGGTGGTCGGCAAATTATCTGAGTGGTCGACACTCGTCGGTAATGCTTAGAGACAAATCGAGCAAACTTAGGAAAATCAAACAGGGGGTTCCACAGGGTGGTGTCCTATCCCCGCTACTGTTTAACTTTTATATTTCAAAGCTCCCTCAACCACCAGAGGGAGTCTCGATTGTCTCCTACGCCAACGATTGCCCGATCATGGCGACTGGGAATGGAATTATTGACCTGTGTTCGAAAGTAAACGGGTATCTCTCCGATCTTTCTCGCTGCTTCACGGCAAAGTGTCTAGCCCTCTCCCCTACGAAATCCTCTGCGACCTTGTTCACCACCTGGACGAAGGAGATCAGGCTACCGCTGGGAATTCACGTCGATGATACACCAATTCCGACGGTGAATAATCCTAAAATACTCGGAGTAACATTCGACAGCCTGCTCTCCTTCTCTGCGGCAGTACCTGGGGCAAAGACAAAGAAACGTTGCTGGCAACATACAAGACAATAGGCCGGCCGGTTTTAAACTACGCAGCACCAGTGTGGTCGCCGGGGACTAGTAGGACGCAGTGGATGAAGCTACAGACAGCACAGTACACCGCACACACGACAGCGACCGGATGCCTCCTGATGTCACCCGAACACCACCTCCATGACGAGGCGAAAATGCTCCCAATTAGGGAGCATAACATTATGCCCTGCAAGCACTTTCTGGTTGGGAGCCACAGATGCGGCCACCAAACAAACAGCCGCTTGCAGAGGAGCCCTCGCCTAGACACGTCAGGAGGCATCTATATGAACTGACGGACGAAGTCCCGATTGCATGATATTCAATATTTGGGGGCCGTCTTACGAACTGACGAGAGCTTTTACCAGCGTATAAAACAATTTTTGACTCATCCGTCCACAAAATGTTCCTCCATTTCGAATAGGCCAATCCAGGTGTTTTTTGGCAAAACCTAGTCTACGTACCACACGATTTTACTCGACCACACATGGACTTCTGCATAAAGTTTATGTTGTCTGAGACGCCTCTTTACTGTATGAACACTACATGGCAACTTAAGGTTATCCAAAATTTCTACAGCCGACATTGTAGGACGAGTCTTCGAATATTAAATAATTCGAATTTATATCGCATGGTAGTCGTTGATAATTTCTGCTTACCACCCATTTTTTTCACGGTTATTTTGATACGTTTCGAATTATGGTAGCTGAACATTCACCGATTTTTTCCACTTTATATGTTTTCCCATTTTTAAGAACGGTTTTAATAATTTCACGTTTTTCGTGAGTGCTATGCAGACCTCGTCCCACTAAAAATTACAAAAATACCTTTTTGTCTATTCCGGCTGAACAGATAATAAACGAGATACCACATAAATAAAAATTTCAAAGCTTTCAAAAAGTTCAAAAAACTAATTAATTAAAAAAAAAACACCCAAATTTCGATTTTTTTAATTAGCAAGGTTTCGATTTTGCAGTTTTATAGCACATTTAATTTTAGTATTCTAGTATCCTAGTAGTCTAGGAAATCTAATTAAGAAAATCGAAATTTTGATGAAAATTGTTTTAAGTTTAATTAGTTTTTGTGAACATTATGCAAGCTTTGAAACTTTTTTTTTATGTAGAATCTGATATACAGTATCGGTCATATCTATAGCACGCCATTTCAAAGTGATATTGTGTGCCACGTATGTTTATTCATTTATTTTTAAGAATTTTCAATTAAAATACAGTTCATTCTCAGACAAACCCCATACAAACCAATGTGTAACAATTTGTAGAAAGCTACAAAAAGGTGCAACAAATTTTCACTTAAATTTCAAACTTTTTTCTCGGAAGTGTTAGGATTTTTTTGAGTACACAGTTTTTTAGTCCCTTCAATTTTAGTCTGATAATGTACAAGCTTCAAGTGGCTACGGACTACCGTTGATTTTTTAGAATTTTTTTCGCCAAAGGTGTTGCGGATTTCTTTCATATACAAATAAATTGAGTTTATTCATTGTATGGAAGCCAATGCGACAAAAAAAAATTCTAAAAAATAAACGGTAATTCGTAGCCACTTCAAATTTGCACATTATCAGACTAAAATTGAAGGGGCTAAAAAACTGTGTACTCAAAAAAATTCTAACACTTCCGAGAAAAAAGTTTGAAATTTATGTGAAAATTTGTTGCACTTTTTTGTAGCTTTCTACAAATTATTAAGCTTGGGTTTGAATCGGGTTTGTCTGAGAATGAACTATATTTTAATTGAAAATTCTTAAAAATTAATAAATAAACATAAGTGACACACAATATCACTTTGAAATGGCGTGCTATAGATATGCCCGATACTGTATATTGATCCATATTTTATATGAAAATTAACAATGAATAAATAAAGATAACTTAAGATAAGATAACCAGATTTAAGCCTATCTTGTTTCACAGAGGCCTTGTCTGGTGTAACTCACTAGAGAAGACTACACGTGTAAACCGACTGGAGTCTGAAGGGCTTTGACTTCATACTGAATACATAGATTACAGCGCCTCTAAAATGGATCCCAGAAGCTTCTTCTCTACTTATATTATCCCAAGAGAGGT